GTTTCTATCCTTTCCTAGCTCTTGGAATATTTCTTGTTCGTCTGACATCTTTATGCTATCATTTCAGGTCGATTACTTCGTTTGTTTCAGCTTCATTAATATCCTACTCCTGTCTATTTTTCGCCTTTTTTTCACGCTTATTTTACGCACTTGTTTTTCATAAACTAAAACAAGCAAAGAAAACTGACTAATGTCAAAGACTTGATGCTGGTTGTCCTGTACTACTACGAACGTTAATATAGATATGCATATGGCGATATATATATACACTTATCTTTCATAACCATGTATAAGCCGAAAGTAAAAAAAAATCTTATTTCTGTTTCGACAACATTTTTTCGCTTGAAATGAGCGTTTTTCTCAACGATAGAAAAGGAGACATTGATAGAATTTTATATTCAAAATGGATTAATATCTATACATATATCTATCTTTCCCCTGAATTTTCAAGTTTTGACTGAAACTACATATGTAACAAAAACCTCCCATCATTTTACTATACATATAAACATAATTCTATTTTTAACAATCATTCTTCTTTTATATAATCTCATTTTTCTGTGGTGTTTTTATTTTACCGCTGATACACTATGTATGTAACAAAAATCTACAATCATTTTTATCATACTTTTAAACATAATTTCTTTTTTTGCAAATTATAAGTCCTATGAATATTTTCATTTTCCTACGAGTGATATCTTTGCTTGAATAAAAAAAATCATTTTTGATCCGAGTATCATTTTTTCGCTCAAAATAAACACTTATCACTGATGAAATAGTTGTCACTGTTGCATTTATGACTTTGTTTTATTTCGATTCCCTTACCTAAGCAAATTAAGAAAACATATTTTGTCATTTAGGCAAGTGTATACTGTTCAAGACAACCATTTACCGTACATGAACGCCTTTTTCTAGCAGCAGATACAAAAAATTGAACTTCCTAAACACTATTGAAACGTAATTTTTTGCCATTTTCTGCTACGAAATGGCGTTTACGTATGATAAATGGTTCTCTTGAATAATACATACTCACTTAAACGACAAAATATCTTTTCTTGATCTACCAAGATACTATTGGCTTGATGATAGTACATCAGTTTCTTCTATTACGTTGATTGAAAGAAATCGAGTATTGGAGAATGTCAATATACGTTAAAATAAATCTATTCTAGACGGGTCGCAGCAGATATAAGTGAACGAACTTAGTCAAGTAGTTTTTATATAAAAACAAAATAACTAAATAAACTTTACGTACAATCTCAATTTTGTATAGATCTTCATGCATACTTGTCTTAACGGTTATGTATTAATCTATTATTAGAACATAAAAGCTGTTCAAATTTCTTTTTCAAATTATAGTGTGATATTTGTGTACATGTATTTAAACTTTAAATTCGATACCAGTGTTTAATTGCTTGCTGTTGTGATTTATGTAGATGGCACTGTTAAAATGGAATTTGAAAATGCATACATTACAGCATTTTCACTTCCATTTTCATCAGTCCAGTTATGTTTAATGAAAAAAAGAAGAAAATCACCTAAGGTGTAAATTGATCGAGTTTATGAACTGCTTGCTGAACGCTTCAGAAAAAAAATGACTTAAAACGGTGTGGAAACAGTGTTCGGTGTTGAGTCATAAACGGTATTAGGTAAATGGAACCGTTAAATACCCCGTAATATATTCGTATCAATATTGTAAATTGATAACCGTTCACAAAAAAAAACATTGTATCTCCGTAAATCTACTATGTTTTATCTATTTATTGTCTTTTACGGATCTTTTATATTGATCTAGGCAGCAGAAAGAAAATAAAGAAAATGAAAATAAATAACAACTCAAAACTCAACCCAAACTGTATCCTACATTGAAACATCGTCAAACACCTCTGATGACTTCTCAACCTAAAAGATAATATCAGCGTTGATGTCATACAGGATCTTTAACTGCTGCAGTGACACAAGTATCTATTTGTGAATCGTACTCTCCCAATAAAAAAGGTTAGGATTATTTCTTTTGTTTGACTGCGTAGGAATAAAAATTGCAACTTTTCTTTTTTAAGATAACTCTTGTCGTCAAAAATTTATTCTTTCTGAATATGAAAAGGATATGATTAGATTTTATTTTCATTTACTCCTGCAAGAAAAAAATATTCTACAGCAATAATATCGTTTGCCTTGTCTTCATTAAGACTTCGATGATTTTTTCGTTCGATCTTTTAGCAAATTGTTGTTTGAAATGAGGGCAAAGTATTAGATTTTTTCACGAGGCGTTTTAGGGAGAAGAAACTTAACTTTTAAAGATAAGCTCGATTTTACCTATTAACAAACAAGTCAAGTAAAGATTCCACTCGATTTCAGCTTATTCATCGCTGCTCAAGCTTGTTACTTTCAAATTTTGAAAAAACTGAGAGATTCTCATGCTCAAATTTATTTCCATGATGAAATGTAGGTCAATTTAAGTGATGTTTAAAGAAGTATTTGAATTTTGGAAGGAGAAGTAAATATACGCTAACATGATGGCAAAGAAGTTAAGTAGATTTAACAAAGGAGTTTTTTCATTAATAATGCTTCGATCTTTGTTAGGGAAAAGATTGGCAGTATCTACCGTAATCAGTTCACAGAGTAACCACCTTGATTTTGGTGATATTTTGCTTGTTCGAAAGATCATAGCATAAATATTGATCGATTCATCAATTGGATAGCAGATGGATCCATGAAAATACGTATACTTCATGGTCAGTGACGAAAACTCGGATAGTTTGACACTTTTCTTGAACTCTTCTGTTCATTTCTGTAGGAGATAAAGCTGAAATTGCAATCGTGCTAGATAATGCACCCTGACACAATGTTCTGGCACTAGAATATAAAGTAGGAAAGAGATCCTGTTGAAAATGAGAGGTACAGAAGTCGTTACAAGATCATCGAATTACATTCAATGATCAGTCTGTAGAAGGTGAATTATTTGAAGCAAGCTTTGGTTAATGCGTCATCCAAAGAGCATAAAGTAAGACCTATTTTTACTTTCTAAGTTATATTATCATTAGAAAAGTTTGTATCGTTTTATTTACCAAAGTGATTAGACCGCCGCACAATCCAATGTACAAATCGTTCGATCACCTTACCGACATTGTCGTCTTAATCCCATTGAGTTGCCGTGGAACAATTTAAAGCAGTATTTACAAGATAATAATGTTACATTCAAATCAAACAATTATTAGAATTCAATTCTGAACTTTATGGACGCCATCGGTATGAAATTGGCAGCGAGTTACTTCGACCATATCAAAAATGTTAAACCAACGTTTAAGGATACAGTTTTATTATTTGAAGAAGACAGTAAACCAAATTTAGTAAACGAAGTGAGCACAACGGAAGATGATGATGATAATGAATAATGATATTTGGTTTTTACTTACACTTTTTGAGCGCTGATAGTTCGCAATGAAAGAACGATGCTTTCATACGACGTTTTATGTTGTATAGCCGAGGCAACTATATACATGAAACATGAAGCTCGCATACAGAAATTACTTTAAAGATGTTGGCTAGTCTCACAATCAACTGTCCACAAGTAAAAAGGAAAGTTGAACACAGGTTTTGAAAAGCAGCTCGCTTTAACTCTAAACAAAAACTCATGTGTGAAATATTCATATTATCTGAGGGTTTCTTAAAAGAGATTCGGTTAAAAGCGTTTCCCAGACTCAGAATAAAAAAAGCCACGATGAACAAAGTTTCTGATAATCCATATATTAAGTGTTTTTAGAATTGTTGTGTGCCTAGATTTAAGTAGATACCTTTGCGAAGAATGCTTATAACTTCCGAAATGTAAGAGATACAGATCTGGAGGTCAGCCAAAAATCTCAGATCTTGATCCAGACTATTGATTTCACTATTTGAAAGCCTACATCTATCAAACGTTTAGGGAAAAGCAAGCTTTTCGAATTCATATTCAAATATTCACCAGGGTAAACCTTACCTAACGGTCTGATCAATTCATAGTATTACGTGCCTCACACTGCTCTATCCAACAAAGAACACCACAGGTGTCGCTCACTTTCCTTTCAAAAGTTACAAGCATTCTCTCCAAGCGAAGTTTACTCAACATTCGATATTAGTGTGTCTACTTAATATTATGAGATATTAGAAAATGTTATTCAAACATGCTTTAAAGCATCGATTATTCATAATCATGAATTCATTTCCATGCATATAGCATCTCACCACTTCCTTTATCGCATAATTGAAAAAATATAATTATTTTGTTCTTAATCTAAAGCAAATAATTCCTTCCGATTTTGTTTTCAATATATATGTTTATATATATATATTTATATGGTAGTACAAAAGAAACAAAGAAAACGAAAGAACCGTCTCCGTTTCGTGCAGAAGAGGAAAAAAGGCCAAAGTTTTTTTTTTTCTTTTAACAACAACAAAAAATCAGAATATGTAATTTCAACAACAAACAGAAAGACATTCAATCTTGGCTATGACAGTATATCATACTAGGCAAGGATAAGTTCTGAAGATAGGAAAAAAACAAACCGGGGTATTCTTATCATTTCAATTCTTGTTTTCAGAAAATGAAAGCGAAAAAACAAACATCACAGTA